TAAATGTGACGTTACGTGACATTGTTTACAAGCCTTTATATTGACGTCTTTGCGCGGCTGAAACACTGATTGAGCGATTACATGAGACAGGATACGGATTGTGAAGTTGTACTCTTCTTTTAACTTACCTTCGGATATTTAATCATGATTATTTTGTGTTGAAACTTGTATTAATGTGGAGGAGATGATCAGTTCACATGCACCTCGCTCTGCCTCGTCTGTTGAACTGAGGCGCTACAACGCGATCTATCACTCCACATTAAACTGCGCCAAAACAGCATTTGTTGTTTAAATACTGCAATACAATGGACAGAATTTGAAATCTGAGACTTTGTTTCATATTAAAAGTACCAACGCACAATGCTTATTGCGATTTATTGGATGGGAAGTGCCCTTCAACGTTCCGTCCATCAACTGAAAACAGGCTAGACTAATCAATTCTTGGGATTTAAGAATCGATATCCTTCCGTAAAAATGAGAATCAATTAATATCGAGATGGATATTTTTTACCCAGCCCTACTGTTATCCAAATCAAATTAAACCGAGATTATAATTTAATCAAATTATTGTGAAATGTGTTTCAATACCCAGCTTTAACCAATTTTAATTTTAATTTTATCAATACTTTTAACGTGACCCATTTCATCTCACTATTAGCTTACTAAGGCATTAAAAATGTTGGATACAAGTCATTATGTCTTTGACTTTCTAAAATTGCTGGTACTTGTTGTGCAGTGCTGTGGTGGGTCAATTTACTCAGCCAACCACTATGGTGTGTGACCTGTCAAACATCTCAGATTGACATAAGAAAGCTGATGTATAGAAGCAAAAATTATTTTCAAATAGGCGCTGTCTTTATAAATAAACTGCAGATTTGAGTTTTAAACAACTACATTCTCGCCTGAAATACTTTTAAAACTACATTTCATGACACAATAACAGTAATATTTTGAAAATTATGCGAATATATGGTAGTTGAAATACAATGCTGTGTGAACTCAACCCGGTGGAAACGTTGCTAATGTGCTCGCAAAAACACATGCATGTGCAGAGTTTTCACACTTCAAGTCTGTGGTTTTTAATGTCTTAATATAAGTGATTTAACATATATTTACCAGCCACTGTGGTTTCCCACTATCACCATAACCCAGGTTAAAATTTTTGCCAGTTCTTAGGGGTGTTGAAATTGATTGTTTGTACGATGCATCGCGATGCAGACGAGGACAATTTGGTATCGGTTCAGTAATAGACCATAACCGATTATAACGTACTGATGCTTTTCTGATGTAATTTGCCGCATGCGTGCTTTGTCGCGGAAGCATACAATGACGGAGGGAGGTGAGACGCAAGTGTGAGTAATTAAAAATGATCCAACTACTTTAAAAGCTGACATCTGGGCACATTTCGGCTTTTAATGCACAACCTGGTAAGCATGACCTGGAGAAGACACAGGCTACGTGTAAATCATGTCACGCACAAATAAAATATGCAGGGGGTAATACCCATAGATATGTATAGATGCCCTATTCGACCGCTCCAGATACGTCTGCCATTTTGGAACGGTCAACTTGACGTCATCCACCATAATAATCAATTAATATTCAAAGACATACATGCATATAACTTGCTGTTGTAGACGCACACAGTCAACTTGCGCTCTAGGGTTCGCAGACCATTCCAAAAATGGCAGATGGCTTACGTATCGCAGCCCATAGAAACAGTTGCTAAGATGAGGCATCTACGTATATATATATATATGCGTGGGGACTCGGTGGATCAAAGCCTGGGACGCAGCCCTGAGCGCTATAATGCTCTTCCTGTAGCACTAGCCCTGCCGCCTCCTCCGCCAATCTGCCGCTTCCTAGGCGCCAACACTCCGCCTGGTGTCATCTCCATTATCTCCCCATGGACACGCTCCAGCTCCACACATACACGAACACACACAGTTGGTGCTTTCACAGAACCAGCACTACAGTTTTCACAAAGACGATCACATCTGTGCATTTCATATAAGACTGGCATTAAAACAGCATTGGGATAAACAGCCATCTCGATATATATAATCCAAATAATGTGATCAAACTATAGCATTGTAATGACGCTCTCACTGGTAAAACACGAAAAATCTGTCTAAATCCAGCTTCCTCTGAAAGGTGTAGTTGGAATTAGAGCCTGACCGATATGTTTTTTTTTGGGGCCGATACCGATATTAGGGAGTAAAAAAAAGGCTGATACTGATATATCGGCCGATATTCTTTGTGCATATTATAGTACAGTACCAGTCAAAAGTTTGGACACTTTCCCATTCGAGGGTCCAAACATTTGACTGGTACTATATATAGAATACAGTATATACATAAACAGAATATATACATAAACACATTTTTTGCAATGATCTCTCAAATGTGGTGATCAAACGTATAATGGTGACAGAGATATGTATGGGCATTTAACAATTTACCAATAAACTTTACTATCCAAAATGAGTCTGACATCAGTGCACTGAACAGTAAAGTTGAAGTTTATTCAACTTCAATTCAATTCAATTCCATTCAACTTTATTCCTTTGAAGTTTATTTCACTTCGGAACATTCATTCACGGATTTGCACTACTGTCTTCACACACTGACGAAACTTACTAGAGAAGTGTGAAGTGTGACATAATATAGGGGAGTGCGATGCACAAAGTAAGGGGGGTTTAGTTGTAACATGTGGTTTGAATATTTATTTTACCATAGTAAAATTTTAATTCTGGCTTAAGTACATTTTTTATCTCAGTTTTTATTATTCATTTAAAATTAGACAAATCTGCTATTATTTTAATCTCCAATCTGTTATTTATCAGTTCATATAGTTTTTTAATGCTTTGATTACTAGCAGAAGACACTAACCAGCTTTAAATTCCAGTTGCGCAGATGGGGCACGTTGTAACACTGCGTTACAATGTGCTATTCTATGACATTAGCTATGTAATTTACACTATTTATTTTAATAAATTTTAATGAGAAACAAACGAGAAACAGGTGAATAAAGACTGACAGTCAATGTTTAATGTTTAGAAATTACTATTGACATGTAAAGCATTTTTGCTCGTTTATGTGGGCTGTCCCAAGCATGGTTGCAATGTGTTCATTGTCAAACTCCAAAATCAGATTATTTTTAATTCTTAAAAAACGCCATTATTTTATTTGA